CACGTGGACCGTTCATCGCACGTCTCCTCCATAGACTTTCTTCCATTCCCAGGCTTTGATGCCACATCATTCCAACTTCCGCACTCAAAGTCGTGTCAAGCAAGACATCTTCTATCCCACTCGATTCCAGTGTGAACCAGACTTACTTGTCCCACACAATAGTCCACTACCACCAGCATCATTCGACCGCCTACAATACAACACCGGGCTGTCAGTATGTTGACCTTCACGCCACTGCCGCGCCGTTCGGAACTCGTCCGCAAACCATACATCGTCGACATTTCCAACCTGTCATCCGACCACAGCGATTGCTCTAATTGTAGATCGCCGCTGACCGAGGATTGCGCGCCAATACCGCTTCATGGCACGCACGTCTTCTGCAAGGACTGCATTTTGACGTGGTTCCAGTAGAGCCGGAAATGCCCGAACTGCAGATAGCCCGCATGGTCGTCACTCGGTTGTGAGAGCCAGCGTCTGGACCGCAAGATTAGTCAGTACTTGAGCGTGGATCCGGGTTATGTTGCTAGTAACGTGCTTATCTTCGACGAAAATGTCATGCGTGTCAGACGCGATCTTACTCTCCAGGGACGCGCCGTCAATAGCGCTATACGCCAGAGGGCAGAAAGAGGAACGAGTGATGAGCAACTGGCGAAACTCAAACATGAGAAGGCGTGGATCAACACTCAGTGCACCGCTCTAGTACAGTGGCGGAGTGAGATGTACAAGCATGCACCTAACCGAGTGATCTGGTCTCCCATCGAATCCGCGAGGGTGGACCGCATTCACGCTCGCAGTAGCCAGCACAGGCCCGTCAAGGTCCAAGTTAGTCACGCTTTGCGCGCACTGGACACAGCTCTCCGCAATGCTCCCATAGAAAGGGATCCGAATATAGTGGTCACCGAGCAAGTGTGGTCGGTGCCCTCTCACCCGCTGAGAGATGCCGTCACGGCGGCACTGATGAACGCTGTTCGCGAAGGCAACGGTAGGCGTCTGAGTGCGTGGGAACTTCAGCAGCATATGCAGCGACGCGTGGACGAGCGAACACCTAGGCTGCTCGAGAGGGTGGCGCAAGGGAGAGAGGAGGCGCTTGTGATGCAGGGCTTCGTCGCCACGCTGATTGTTCGTATTGTTGAAGCGCAGCAGAAGTGCAAGAACGTCAAGGGTCGCAGCCAGGCTGGGGTGATAGTCGATGCTTCAGAGGTGCCAGAGCAGGTGCAATGCAAGCATTGAGGCAGTTGAAATTCAAGAAAACAAGGACTCAGGCATGGTGAATGGACGAGGCTGTGCATGGTATGGGTCATGCCAAGCTCTGCCGGAATACTTTTGTTGGAGCTTGCGACAGGCAACGGGCTATTCGCGTCTTGCGACATCTCCCAGGTACTCCACTACTTCTCGCTCTCTTCCCGATCAGGCTCTGCAGGCACCACATCATACCGTCCCCCCGCAATCTTCAATTTCTCGTGGTGCTCGCCATCCGTGACCGCCGTGCTCTCCACTATGTGTGCCTCGAACTCGGCGACTGAATAGAAAATCGACTCAGGCGGATGACTCTCCCCAGCACGCCTGTAGTGTACCCTACGATCCTCAGCAGCTTCTTTGCAGTACTGGCAGACGAGGGTTCGGTCCTGGTGATTTTCCAGTATGTCCTGAGCAGTGCGCCGAAGAGTCTCGGTGTCCAATACCCAACCTGGCCGCGAGCGGATCTGATGACCGATCAGTGACTGTCAAGACTAGGGCTCGACAACATTGAGAGATATTTACCTCCTGGGCCTCTGCAGTCAGTCGCTCCCTCGTTTCCTTGCGCTGGACTTCAATTTTGGCATTGACTTCCTTAGGTTGATCTTGGAAGCGCTCCATCCCTGCTCGTTGCTCCTCCTTGAGAGCCCGCTTAAGAGCTTCCATCTGTTTGTGAGAGTCGTTCGTTTTGGGGGTATGTGGATCTTCGGTAGCGGACGATCATCCTCGGGCTTAGGTGGCATTGTGTTGTATGGGTGGTGCGTATGTGACGGCGAGTTGATATGGTGGAGTTCTGTGATTGTAGATGTGTTGAGGTGTCGGTGCAATGGTGGCTAGTGCAAGCGTTTTGAATAAATGGGAAAGTGCGACCGCGGTGTCAGAAATTCACCCAGAAGAGCTCGAATTGAGCTTCGCCAAACCGGCTCATCTTGTTTTCGCCGGATCACAGTGCATTAGATGTGCAAATTCGATGTGCTGCCAACTATGCTCCCACTGCTGGCATAGTTGTGTGCTCAGCCACCAACCCCGAATCTCTCCCTCGCCAATCCTCTCAACATTTCCATAGTCTTGTCCTCCTTCCGCCTAAACTCAGCCACCTTCTCCTCCCTTTCCACCGCCCTCGCCCTAAGCACCTCTTCTTTTCTGATCTCCCTCTCGCTCTGCTTGCGCTGGTTCTTCTGCACCTCAGCCTTGTACTCCTCCACACCACTCGCACCGAGGAGATCACTTTCGGGTACCTCCGCTACGCCAGCGTCCTTCGATTCCGCAAAAGTCTTGTTTGAGAAAGCGGCGTCACGACGCTTTTCGATCTGGCGATCACGGGTCCCCGCAGCCGCGCGGGGTGCGAGCCCGTCCAGGCGAGCTTGAGCGACTGAACGCTCCTCTTTGCGCTCGAACTTGCGCATCGCATGCTGGTTTTCGCGATCGCCAGCTTGCAGCTCGTGTCGTAGCTGGAGATCTTGTGTAGTGGGTGCTTGTGGACCTGCTCTCTGGCCAGTCGGCAGTGAAGGGCCCAGATCATCGTCGTCTCCGTCTTCGTCGTCACTATGTTGCTCTTGAACACCAGGCTGTGCGGTGTTCATGCCCTGTTGAGTGACCTTTGCACGACCGAGAGCTGCGGCTGAAGAAGTACTCCGCTCCTCCGCTGCATGCGCATCTGCCCTCGCCTTTGTCTTCGGATCATACCAGCCCTCTGATAGCTCACCTCGGTTCCACTTTCCCATGAAGCTCTTCCATCGTCCCTTCGCCTCGGTCTCGCTCAGACTGGACAGCTCAAGCTGCTTCTGCAAGTCCAAGTAGTCCGCGAACAAGGTATAGTAGATATCATAATCCCGTTTGCGAAGCTGGGATTGTTTGAAAGGTAGCTTGACAGGCTGTACGTCTTGTCTAGACTTGGTGCTGTGCCCATGGGGCGAATGTGAGCGACGGCGCTTGGTGGTCCGGTCTATCCTATCATGATCACCACGGTGTCGATATCTCTTACCAACAGTTGATGTCGGCTCCATGACGCTTGCGCACACCGAAGATCTCGTATCAAAGTGACGGTGTAGAATTCAGACAATGAGAATGAGACATTACCGGAAGAGAAAGACCGTACACGCTCGCGCATCTGCTAGCCTACTTTTGCCCAGCATGCGGCCGATTGCGGCACTCGTGAACTTTCGAGTAAGTACAGCGCATGAGGAAAACAGGTCAGCCTTCACGCCCTGCGCACGGTGTGGTCTTTGGCATTAGGCATCTGCTGCCCAATCGCGCAGTGTAGTCGAGGTGGAGTGGTGATTGAGCTCGGCTAAGTTACCCCATTCGGCAGTTCCGTCCCGAAATTCTCGGACAAATTTACATCCGGCCCTGCGCACCATCAATGGCAAACCCGCACATGGGAACTGCCCAATCCGACAACGACGATACAGGACGCAATACTCGACCATATGGGACAAAATAAAGATGGTAGTATACCCAGACAGCAGCAAAAGCGATGGACTCACGGGGATTTGAACCCCGGACCATTCACATGCAATTTCCACCAGGAAGAGAATGCGAAGCGAATATCATACCCCTAGACCATAAGCCCTTGATGGCGAGAGGTTAAAGATACCGTACATGATTCCAGCGGTCATGGCAAGCCCTGGACACAGAGCCGACCGCATGCGGAGGCTTATCCTTTCTTGTGAATGAGAAGGTTGAGCAAGAGAGACTTGAGAGTGAAGAAGGGGAAAAATTGCGTGGATGGTTTCATGTGGTGTGAGTGACCGCCGATCAAAGCACTGGTGGTCAGTTTGAGCGTCTCTGAAGCTGTCGGACAATTACCACTTCAAACGGACAACGGAGACGGCTCTGACGAGACGAATCGAACGAGATCATGAGTATAGCCGTCGCTTCGTGCGGATGCATCTGATGATCTGAAGTGTTTTGTATTGGGTCATGAGGTGACGTTGATAAAAGCTCATGTGCACATGGCGTGCCTTCCTCTCCTTTCGTTGATCTGCTCGCGTGGCGCGACTGCCACCCGGAGGCAGCGGAGCTTCGGCCGGCCGCATACAAACGAATTCGTTCCGATCTCAGATGTTCACAATATACATGAACAATCTGTGATTGACGCTACTCGCTAGAATATAGCCAACGCATTCGGCGGACTCGCAACCCCACCCGGCACATTACACACCTCACTCGTCAGAAAGAACTCCCACCTCCCCTCCTTCTTACACATCTCCCCCACCTTCTCCAAATCAAACAATTCCCCAATCGGCATTCCCCATCCCCCAAGCATCACCTCATGACAACTCCACTCCTGCTGCGTCGGCCACGCTTCCCAACTCGGATGATCGCCCGCGCAGGCGCTGAAGTTGCTCCACATGAACTCCAGCATCTCCTCGCTCTGCTCCACGCCCGCGAACTGCGGCTTTGGATGTCGGTCACGTAAGGCGCTGATCTCGGAGCGGGAGAGGGCGTTGTAGGCGGCCATGTAGCCGGAGCGGACGAAGAGGATGTCGCCGAAGTTGATCTCGGTTCCTTGAGCTTTAGCGACGGCACGGAGGTCGGAGACTGTGATTGAGGAGGTCTTGAAGGCGTCGTGGGAGCGATTGTTGGCGAGACGCCAGCTGTGGTAATCGAGCAGGATGCCACGGCCTACAATACCTTTCTCACTCCAGGCGTGGATGCCGTTCTGCGTCGTCTTTGGCTTGCCATTGGTGCCGTGTATGTTGTCTATGGTCACGCCGTTGTAGAAGACTGCTTCTTTCTGATAGCCGAAGTGGCGGAAGCCATCCCATTGCGAGGAAGACTGTGCTGCAAGTCAAGATCAAACCAGCTGCAACGACTCAACAGCACCCACCTGCGTATTGAACGTCCAGACATCGTCGTTGACTACTCGCGGCGCCTTGTGAATGATCTCCTTGTGGAACTCCTGACGACCAAAGAATGGTAGATCGCCCTGTGCATCAAGTGGCCAGTTCAGAGAGACGCGATCGCCGGTCTTGATCAGGGACGCTGCAGAAGCGACTATCTCCTTGGTAAGCCGATTGAGTGTGCCGAGCTCGTCTTTCGGGCCATAGCTATGTGGACCATATCAGAGCTTGTTAGCAACGATCACATCATGTACGACTTACAGGCCCCAAGCATTGTGATGTGGACCATTCTTATCGAGTGGAAGCTCCGAGAACTTGGGGACATTCATGACGTTGAACGTACTAATCCGAGCTCGGAATTGTAAATCAGCAGAACAGCGAAGAATGTGAAGTATACTCACGACTTTCCGCCAGATTGAGAGTGTAACATATGAATGTCAATAACTTATACCGTACCAATGCTGCAGTGAGGAGAATAACTACGATTGCACAGCTTGACCTCGGTGTACAAACGAGCGAGCTGTCCAAAGCTCGTGCGAGCAGACAGCGGCAATAGAGCCGCGTTCCACGCGCGCCGAAGGGATTCAAATGCAGCGAATGTCCCGGAGGTCGTGATCCGCGTGAAGCTCATCAGTGGCAATGAAAGCCGATCGTGGTTTACACAGTCCAGGGAGCGAATAACACGCCGCCAGATTCCCGTGCAAGCAAAGCGATCTCGGCCTTTGTGCGTAAGTCCGAGCGGGAGTAGCCGTCAGCTATTGTTATTCCTCACGAACTCGAGTTCACCTTGACACGACCATGCATCGCAGCAGCACATTCAGTAACTACAACGACATCCGCGACCATCGAGCATTGATATCTGAAAGGTTCTTCCAAATCACGCGCCTTTTCCAGCAGTGCAAAGATTGGAAGACATACAAATTTCATCGAGAAGGCCGAGAAGATGGCCACGAGAACCGAGACAAAGACGCAGAAGTCGGTAGGCAAGATTGCAGTGAGGACTAAGACAAAGGTTCCAGGTGAGTTCATATCCCCTGCAGCGCTCTCATGGGCGCCTCTCGAGGCGCGTAGCATTCCCTCATATCGTTATGGCCGCCTCGAAGGTGGCGCGTTACCCTTTGCGGTACCTTGATTCGAAGGGTCGCTTACATGTTGCTGCAGATACTAGCACGAAGAAGGCAACTCCTCCAAAGGAAGAGCCAGTCACCGCTGCTACCAAGAAGCCGGCAGCGAAAGCTACCACGAAGAGCAAGCCTACTACCGCCGCCAATACTTCAGCGAAACGCAAGGCGGCAGCGACTCAGCCCAATGGCACTGCTAAGAAGCAAAAAGTAGCTGCGACTACGAATGACAAGAGGCAGAAGACCCCGGAGGAAGACGATGCGGCCCCAGCTCCGACCAGCAAGAATGTCAAGACTGCCGCGAAAGGTGCTGTCATCACCGAACCACCCACTGATCGTCTCAAAGTCTTCGTCTTCGGCGAAGGTACAGCTGGCGAACTTGGCCTCGGCACCGCGAAGAAAGCAGTCGACGTCAAGCGACCACGTCTTAACCCCAATCTCGATCCGCAGGCGGTCGGTGTTACACAGGTAGAAGCTGGTGGTATGCACGTCATCGCACTCACACACGATAACAAGGTCCTCACGTGGGGTGTGAACGATCAGGGCGCGCTTGGACGCGACACAGAGTGGGACGGCGGGTTCAAGGACATGGACGCAGCCATGAAAGAGTCCGACGGCTCGGATAGCGATGAGGAGGAAGATGACAACGGATTGAACCCGAAGGAATGTGTTCCTGGAGAAGTCGACTGGAGCTCTGTCGAGCTGCCTAAAGGGACGCGATTCGTTGATGTCACCGCGGGCGACAGCTGCTCTTTCGCTCTGACTGACGATGGACATGTCTACGGCTGCGGTACCTTCCGTGGCAATGAAGGTGTTTTCGGCTTCGCCCAAGACGTCGAGATTGCTAAGCGACCGATTATCATCGCAGGACTGAAGAACATTGTCAGCATCAAAGCTGGCGCGAACCACGCCCTCGCTCTGGACAGCAACGGCGCCGTGTTCGCATGGGGATCTGGACAGCAGATGCAGCTTGGTCGTCGCGTCGTCGAACGCACCAAGCTTGGCGGACTGCAACCACGCGAATTCGGACTTCCCAAAAGTAAGAAGACCCACATCACCGCGATCGGAACTGGCGGCTATCACTCCTTCGCCATCGCCAACAACGGCGACGTCTATTCTTGGGGCTTGAACTCCTTCGGCCAGACTGGTCATACCGCCGGCGCCGGAGATGATGAAGCGGTCATCTTGAAGCCGACTGTCATCCAAAGCCTCCGTGGCAAGACCGTTGTGTCTCTTCATGGCGGCTCCCATCACAGCGTCGCTGCTACAGCAAACGGCGAATGCCTTATCTGGGGTCGCGTGGATGGACGACAGATGGGCATGAGCACTAGCACTATCAATGACTTGCCCGAGGACACAGTCATCAGAGACGACAAGAACGAGCCTCGCATTATCTCTGTGCCAACCGCGATCCCGACCATTGACGGCAAAGTCACTGTCGTTGCAGCGATGTCAGATCACAATATTGTCGTTACTGAGGCCGGACAGGCATACAGCTGGGGTTTCTCTGCGAACTACCAGACTGGTCAGGGCACGATCGATGATATCGTTGAGGCGACTATGATCGACAACACGGCCGTGCGAGACACGGTGCTTACCGGCGCAACGGCGGGAGGGCAGTTCTCTATCGTCACAGCAAAGGTGACGAACTAGCTTAAGACCCATCGAGAGAACGCGGAGTCATGGGTGAAGCCGTGAAGGGAGGTAAAGTAGACTGGAGATCGAGATAGATGGGAGCAGATGATGGCGAATGCACTTCTTGCGGTTGGCATTTCGATAGGAATTTTGGATCCTTGCGATGCGTCTGCCCTGTTCGCGTAGGGCAGCGCGATGTAATAGTAGTGTACTGAGTAGGCTTGAAACCGCTTTTGCTTCATGTCGACGTCGCAATTATTCGTGTATGATCTTCGTAGCGAAAAAATCTATATACATGCGCACTCAGCCTCTATATGTCCCCTAACGCCGCGCTAAATGGTCACCACGTATCCTGCCGTGTCGTGACTGTCGATCGTCATCGTTATGTTGCGCCCTTCACTCCCCGACTACCGATCTTCTCGTCATCCCCGGTCACCTCAGCGGTGTTGTCTTCCGCAGCCCTGAGCTCCAGACCCGCCTCAACCGGCTCAGCGTTCACAGCGGCCTGATCGTCCTTCGCCTCCACTATTCCACCCTTCTCCACATCCCCTTCTCCCGCTTCCCTCGCAGCAGCAGCTCGCTCATTAGTATCCAACCTCCTCAGCGGATTCCTCTCCTCCGCCATCGCCTTCCCATCCCCACTCCTCCGATCCTTCTTCAACACACTCCAGCCACCGCTCCAACCCACCCAGCCGTCTTCCCAAGGTCCCCTGACGATACACAACAAGAGCGCGACGCCGATACTACCCATACTGAAGCTGCCGCTTGCGATCCAGCCCCCGCGCGCGTATAAGTGGCTACCGACCGATGTGCCTGTGAGCTGCCCGCAGAAGACGGCCAGCATGAAAGCGGTGTTCACGCGATTTCGACCTTTGGGCTCAACAGCGTAGATTGCAGAGCGATTGGCGATCTGGGCTGTTTGCAGTCCGAAGTCGCCCATGAAAGCTTGAATCACGGGTCCAGCGACTGTG